GTTTAGGCAATAGCTCTCTCAGGCATGCTACAGCTTCACCATGCCTCAAGCCCAGTGTCTTTCCAGTCAGTTGATATCACTGACACCCAGTTTGATAATTTCTGTGTATGTGTGTGTGTGTGTGTGTGTGTGTGCGTGCGCGCGCGCGCACGCCATTACTGGGGCTTGAACTCAGGCCTGGGCTCTGTGTCGGAGCCTTTTTTTTGGGCACAAGGCTAGCATTCTACCATTTGAGCCACAGCTCTACTTTTGGCTTTTTGCTAGTTAAATGGAGTCTCATGGACTTTCTTGCCTGGGCTGGCTTTGAACTGTAATCCTCAGAGTTCAGTCTCCTGAAGAGCTAGGATTATGGGCATGAGCTACTGGCGCCAGGCTTCAGTTCGACAGTTTTATTCTACTACTGAGCATTTACTTTATTGGATAGTCTCTTAGAAATGCCCACCTGGCCCAGTGGCTCATGCCTGTAATCCTAGCTACTTAGGAGGCTGAGATCTGAGGATCATAGTTCAAAGCCAATGTGGGCAGGAAAGTCCATGAAACTCAACTCCAATAACCACCAGAAAACTGTAAGTGGTGCTGTGGCTCAAGTGGTAGAGCGCTAGTCCTTTTTTTTTTTTTTTTTGGGTCCGGTCGTGGGGCTTGAACTCTGGGACCTGGGCACTGTCCCTCAGCTCTTCAGCTCAAGGCTAGTGCTCTATCACTTGAGCCACAGCGCCACTTCTGGCTTTTTTCTTAAGTGGTGTTGAGGAATCGAACCCAGGGCCTCATGCATGCAAGGCAAGCGCTCTACCACTGAGCCACCTTCCCAGCCCATAGAGCTCTTCAGTCTTGAACTGAAGAGCTTAGGGAGAGCGCCCAGGCCCAGAGTTCAAGCCCCATGACTGACAAAAAAAAAAAAAAAAAAAATATTCCCCTGGACATAGGTGCTCCAACCAATACATGTGTGCAGACAAGTTCAGCCTGTGTTCTCTGAGTTGGTCTTATCACTTTGACCCAGTCACTACCCTGAAATCCTCACAGATCCACATGGACCACACCATCTTGGCTCCAGATCCTTCTCACCACTGCTTGGCTATTGGCTGTGACCTTCCTAATGGTGTTCCTACTTACCTCCAGTCTGAAGTCTTTTCAAATCCAACTTTTGTATAACAAATATAAATATAAATGACAAACTCCTGTTGGTCTTAATTTTCAAATCTTGTTACTTCCTAGCCACTAACTAGCGACTGTGGCAAGAATCTACTAAAGTATAGATGCTCTCTGGGAATGCTCAACCTAGCATTCCCAGGCTAACCCCTACCCATCAGCTTCCATACATGGTCTTCTCTCTACACTCAAAGAGATGTCTCATTGTGATCCTACTAAAAGATGTGCTTCTTAGTGGTGCTGTGGCTCAAGAGGTAGAGCGCTCGCCTTGAGCTGAAGAGCTGAGGGATAACGCTCAAGCCCAGAGTTCAAGACCCATGACAGACAAAAAATAAAAACTCAAACCCCAAAAGATGCGCTCCAGTCTCAGTGACTGCTTGGTAATGTGATGATTCATTTGTGAGTTCTGAGCGCAATGAAGGCAAACACTGTTTTTCGCTAAATCCTCAGAATGAAATATAGTACTAATCATACATGTACCAAGTCCCTAGTATGTATTCCAAGAGATTTTGTTGTTGTTGTTTTTCTTTATTGGTGGTGATAGGCAAGTGCTCTCTCCTAGAGCTAAATCCCCAGCCTGAGTAAGGTTTTCAAATGAACTCTTATTCGTCATTTTAAAAGGCTGAGATAAAGCTAGGTGCCTAGCTATTCAGGAGGCTAAGATCTGAGGATCACGGTTCTAAACACACAGGAAAATCCCATGAGACACTTCTCCAATTAACCACTAAAAAAGCTGGAAATAGAGCTGAGGATCAAATGGTAAGAGTGCCAGCACACACATAAAAGGAAGGGATGCCTTTCTGACTACAAAGCACTCAGCTGGACATTTCAATCCACATGACTCCACAGTAGGACAGCAAACTGAGAAAGCCAGAGAGAACAAGTACTTTGGGCCATTAAAAAGCCACCTGTTTACACTTCAGAGCCTATTCAATTTTACTAACTAGCCCCATCCCCACAAAGGAACAGCATTCCAGATAGCACTCTGGGTTCTGCAGGCCAGCAGTATGGAAGAGGCCATGGGGTGACTTGTCTGGAAGCTTCTGCAGGATGCTTACCTGCTGAGGTGCACGGCCAGTAAAGGAAGCGGGATCCAGCAAACGCTCCAACTGGGAGTGAATGGGGCTAAAGTAGGCATCAGCCTGGATCCGCTCCAGAAGGTCATTGTCACCCCCTTCCTGCTTGACCACGGCCGCTGCCTGCTGGGAAAGCACTCGGATTTTCTCATGGCAATCCTGAGGAGAGCAAAGTCAGGTCACTTCACTGTTGGAAGGGCATTTCAACACCCGGTGAGCAGCCATCAGACTCTACACAGTTGAGGTGGTATCTCTCAGTCTGACCTCACCAGAACCCTAACTGACCTTAGGTAGATGTTCCATGTCTCAAAAAACAACAGAATGATTTCTTCTTGATTACCTGCTTACTGAATTTCCTGTGGAAATTCAGACCTAATTCTTCACTTTCTCCACATGTGATTAGTGACTTTTTTCCCCCATCAGTCATGGGGCTTGAACTCAGGGACTGGGCACTTTCCCTGATCTCTTTTGCTCAAGGATAGTGCTTTACTACTTTGAGCTACATTACCACCTCCAATTTTCTGGTGGTTAATTGGAGATAAGTCTCACAGACTTTCTGCCTATGCTGGCTTTGAATCATGACCCTGAGATCTCAGCCTCCTGAGTAGCTAGGATTACAGGCAAGAGCCATCAGTGCCCGGTGGTTGGTGATTTTTAATACCCTTGAATTCAATATAACACCCTCTAGAGATAGCGAACCATCCTTCATGGAGGAGAGAGCAGGTCTAAAGGTGTGCTCTCCATTTATCCAAGAGCATGAAGGCCTACACACCTGCCTGTTACCCCCAGCCTTGACCATTGCCATGATGATGTTCTCTGTGGCCATGAATGGCAGCTCTTGACGAATGCGCCGCTCAATTACCTAGTAGAAAAAGGGGAGGGCCAAGACAGAGGCCTTCATGTTACACAGTGACACAGCACAAGATCAACTACATCAGGCAAAATGCACAGCGTGGACACAAACTACCATTATTTAACAGAGGTAGAGGTGCAACGAGATGTAGTATTCAGTAATGTAAATTCTGATTTAGTTTTTTTTTTTTTTTTTTTTTGCCAGTCCTGGGGCTTGAACTCTGAGCCTGGGCACTGTCCCTGGGCTCCTTTTTGCTCAAGGCTAGCACTCCACCACTCGAGCCACAGTACCACTTCTGGCTTTTTCTAGTGGATTTTGGAGATCAAGAGTCTCAGAGCCTTTCCTACCCAAGTTGGCTTTGATCTGTGATCTTCAGATCTTAGCCTCCTGAGCAGCTAGGATTACAGGCGTGAGCCACCAGCACCTAGCAACAAGGTAACTTTCAAAAGCTACTTTTTGGAACAACTAAAGCTTCAAATTTGTAAATTCAATGTGAGGCCTTAAGGCTGAGTGAAAGTGCCTTAAAACGGGGCGGGTGCTGCCACCTCCTCGCTCTAGCCACTGGAGCTGCGGATTCATGCCAGCTGATATTGCAAGGCAACTGAAGTACTCATCTCGATTCCACACACTTGTCAGTGAGTTCCTCAGACCTAGGGGTAGGATGAGCTCCTCCCCCTTCCCACACCCCAGTCTCTCCCCAGTATTTTGCTTTTTTAATCAAGACCTCTTACTTTGGGGTACACCACCAATCCTTCTGAAATGTTCTGCAGTGTATTCAATATGGTATCTGCAGTGAGAAAGGCTTCGGCCAAACAGATCCGTCTATAAAACAAACAGCCATTCCATTACCCATCTAAACAAATGTTAGAGGTAGGCAGGGGTCTATGGCAGGAAACTGAGCTGTTGCATTCACATGTGCATGTACTCCCTGGACAAGTTTCTTCAGTCTGAAGACTTCAAGTGTCCCCTCTAGTCCAGACCAGTTGCCCAAGAATAAGACCTTCTTATAGCTAGTGGAAAGCTCTAGTAGCTGACTTAAAACATTTCAAACCCGAACTAACTGCATCTATTCTTCCTCACTACCTCCTGCTCACCAGTACAAACTTGTTCTCTCCTCGCGGTTCTGGCCTTAGTCAAGGCAGCAGCACCCAGTCACCAAGTCCTGGAAAGAGTCCAGATACCCTGCCATGCAAGCCAGTCTGCCGCCTCTGGCTTTTGTCTGTCACTTGTGGAGCTTGACCTCAGGGCCTGGGCGCTGTCCCTGAGCCAGGCACAGCACCATTTCTGGTTTTTGAGTCATTAATTGGAGATAAGAGTCTCATGGGGACTTTTCTGCCTGGTCTGGCTTTGAACTGTGATCCATAGATCTCAGCTTTCTGAGTAGTTAGGATTACAGGCGTGAGCCACTGGTGCCTGACCTGCCTCTGGCTCTTTTTTTTTTTTTTTTTGGGTCCGGTTGTGGGGCCTGAACTCTGGGCCTGGGCGCTGTCCCTCAGCTCTTCAGCTCAAGGCTAGCGCTCTACCACTTGAGCCACAGTGCCACTTCCGGCTTTTTTCTTTTTGCTTATGTGGTGCTGAGGAATCGAACCCAGGGCCTCATGCATGCAAGGCAAGCGCTCTACCACTGAGCCAACTTCCCAGCCCTGCCTCTGGCTCTTTATGTACATGGTTCCACTCTATTTTTGTGGTCACTAGGCTAATGTAGGCTTGGAATCTAATGTTAACCCCTGACTTGTTCAGATGGGATCCAAACACTTTATATGATTCTTTTTTTTTTTTTTTGATTTGGCATTTGCAAGGCTTGGAACTCAGGGCCTGGGCACTGTCCCTTAGATTTTTCCCTCAAGGCTTGCACTCTACTACTTTGAGTCACAGCTCCACTTCCAGTTTTCTGGTGGCCAATTGGACATAAGAGTCTCACTAATGCACGGGTTGGATTTATGGCAGGCCTGTACCTCTGGGACTTTCATACTGTCCCATGCCAGAGCAAACTGTGGTCCTGAACCATTGCCTGGCCTATGGGCTACTGGCACTGAAGGGGGTTGCACAGAGGGAAAAAGAAAAAAGTCTCATTGACTTTCCTGCTCAGTCTGGCTTCAAACTGCAATTCTCACATCTCAGACTCCTCAGTAGCTAAGATTATAAGAGTGAGCCACCAGTGTCTGACTACACTGATTTTTTTTTTTTTTTGGCCAGTCCTGGGGCTTGAACTCAGGGCCTGGGCACTGACCCTGGGCTTCTTTTGCTCAAGGCTAGCACTCTACCTCTTGAGCCACAGTGTCACTTCCAGGTGTTTCTGTTTATGTGGTACTGAGGAATCAAACCCAGGGCTTTGTGCATGCACTCTACCACTAAACCACATTCCCAGCCTAGAACTGATTCTTTAAATTGTAGCTAGGATGTTTAGCAGGTCACAGCTTCTTAAAAACAGTACAGTTGACTCTCAGAATCCAATAATTCAGCATCCATAGATTTAACCAACTATGGACTAACATTACTTGGGAAAAATATTTCATTAGAACTGAACATATGAAGTTTTTTTTTTGTTTTGTTTTGGTATTTCCTAAAGGATACAGTGTAACAATTACTTATTTAGCATTTACATGACATTAGGTACCACAAGTAAACCAGAGGTCTTTTATAACATATGGAACATGTGCGTGTTACATGAAATACTACACTATTTTACACGTAGACTTGAGCATATGCAGGTTTCAGGATGCACACTGTCCCGGAACCAAGCCCCCACAGACACTCAGGGAAAACTGTACTAATAACTGACTTCAGAACCAGTTCACATGACCTATTTCTATTGGTTAGCCCAGGACAGATCCCAGAGAGCTAGCCAGCTTTATATCTTTCCACTTAAATCTCAGGCTTGGGCAGGAAAATCACAAGTTTCAGACCAGCCTGGGTTACATATCACGATCTTGTTCAGGGCAAAAATGAAATCCTATTGCACTGCAAAGCAGGCAAGAATGTGAATGTAAGCCTGCTCCTTTTAAAGCATAACAAACAGACAAACAACAACAAAAAAAACAACCTGGGACTGACCACAGGACCTCCTACTTGCTAGCTAAGCTCTCCACTTCAGCTATACCCCCCAGCCCTGCGAGCCTGCTTTAAATGTGCATGTAGAGTCATGAATGCTGGTATTTTATGGGTAGTTACAAATTACTTCTTACCCAAATATATCACCCTGGACATTTGCCCTCAGAGTAGAGTGGGAACCATGAGGCCTTGGGGAAAATAGCTTCTTCCTGTGATCATATCATGCCTTAGCTTCATCTCCTCACACTACTCAGCTATTAGTGGGTTGCTAAGCTATTCTTCCTCCCACCTTTATGCTTTTATACACATAGGATCTCATCTTCAACTGCCTATGCTATGTAATCACTGGGGCACTGCCTTGTCTATGAAGTTTGCCTGAATCCTCCCACACTACTCTCTCCTCGGTGCTCCAACAGCTCTTGCACATGGGGTCACATACTCAGTATGCCAGTCTTTGTTTTTGCTGTCCTGCTACTCAGGGTTCCTAGGATAGGGAGGGAGGCAGAAGAGCTCAGTGTCCTTTTGCTCCCAGGCCACCTCTCTCAGTCCTCTTCCCAGTGTGCTGTTTGTGATGTCTCTGCTGTGCTCACCTGTTAGCACTATCATCCAGTGTGCGCTCAAACCACTGCACGGAAGCAGTCTGCAGCGGGTCCAGGACCAGCGTCATCAGGTGGCGGGCAAGGCTGCAGCAACGTTCTGAACGCATGGGGTTCCGCTTGTATGGCATTGCACTTGAGCCTGTCCAGGACAAGATGCAAAGGCAGAAAGACTTCTGGGACAGCAAAGGTGCAAGCATGCCAATGGGGAGGTTTAGCACGAGCGCACGCCTTTCCAGCAGGTCTGTGGTGTTCCCAGATCTCAACCTAACACTCACCAATCTGCTGTTTTTCAAAGGGTTCCTCCATCTCCTTGAGGTTCGCCAGGAGGCGTATGTCTGTGCAAATCTAGGGGAAGTACGGGAACAGGCATGATCGCACATGCTCAGTGTGCAGGAGAGCTCTGGAGGCAGTGAAGGGCTGATGCAGGGAAGGGGCTCTTAGGGTGTGCATTGCTGAGCTCAATGCCAGCAAGTCCTGCCCAAAATTACCAGAATGTACCTGAGGCTTCTCTCTGCTCCTAAAGAGCGGGGATGACAAATATACTGAACATTAACATGCTTTGTGAAACAATTTTTAAGACACCACAGAGATAGGTGTGGTGTGCTGGTATACACTTGCAATCCCAGCACTACAGAACTTCAGGCAGAAGAATCTTGTTTTTCTGTTGTTGTTGTTTTGTTTTGTTTGGGAGGGTACCATTCCTGGGCCTTGAACTCAGGGCCTGGACCCTGTATCTGAGCCTTTTAGCTGAAGGCTAGTGCTCCACCACTTAAGCTACAGCTCCACTTTTGGATTTTTGATAGTTTTAAAGGGAGGTAAGAGTCTCATAGACTTTTCTGATCAGGCTAGTTTTCAACTGTGATCCTCAGATCTCAGCCTCCTGAGTAGCTAGGATTACAGGTGTGAGCCAAAGGTGCCTGAGAATCTTGATTTTGACACCACCCCAGGATACATAGCAAGACCTTATTACAGACCAAAATTACCCGTGCCCCCACTGTTAAATCTTAGCTACTTAGGGGACCGAGATGTGAGGATTACAATTCTAAGCCAACTGGGGAAGACAAATTGAAGACTCTTCTCTAACTAGCAAAATGCAAAAGTGGAAGTGTGGCTCAAGTGGTAAAATGCCAGCCTTGAACAAAAAAGCCAAGCAAGAGCACAAGGCCTTGAGTTCAAGCCTCAGCATTGGCAAAATAAAAAAGCAGGCATGGTAATACATGTCTATAATCCTAGCTACTAAGGAAGCAGAGTTTAGGAAGATCATGGTTCCAGGCTAGCCTAGGCAAAAAGTTAAGATTCTCATTTCAATACAAAGAGCCGAACAAGGTGCATATCTGTGATCCTGGCTATGGTAGGAAACATAAATAGGAGGATCACAGTCCAGGCCAGACTGACTATAAATCATGACTCTAATTTCAAAACTAACCAAAGCAAAAAAGGGATTAGAGGTATAGATCAAGGTAGCAGAGTGTCTACCTAGCAAGCACAAGGCCCAGAGTTCAAACTCCAGTATTCTTCCTCAAAAAACATCACATAAAGACAACAGGAAGATCAAGTGTAACATAGCCCTCAATAAGATGTCATTGTGCAAAAAGTCTTTTCCTTTAAGACATGTTAATTTAAGGGCTTTCTTTGCCGTCACAAACTGCTCTAATTGGCAGATGACAGAGAGACAATTAAATGAAAGCCTGAGGCTGATTTAGTCTCCAGTCCCCAGAGCTCCCATTCCCCACAGTGCAGACTGCCCCAATCCCTCACCTTGTGCACGGATGCCCCCAAGCTAGCCAGCACAGACAGCACCTCGATGTCCACTTTTCGTGTATACGTCTGCCCTGAGATGATGAAAGCCCTGGAAGTAAAGATTTGTATTAACACATATCAAATCACGGTGGTCAGACATTAACAAAACAGAGCCTAAATGACAGCTTAGTTATGACTGGCCAGCCAGTAACATGGAGCCCAGAGGACCTGACTGGTAACTCACTCTCTACTGCCCTTTTCACTATCTTCAGGAAACTGTCCTGAGGAAGAAACATGGTCTAGAGTTCCAGTGTCCTGCCAAGAGTTCAATGACAGACCTGGGAGAAAAAGCCATGACAAAATCTAGTGGATCTCAAGAGAAATGGCCAGATTTAAACATGAGAACACCAGGGGGAAAAAAAAAATCAAAATAATAATATGGTACGGGATGACCTGAAGAAATAGAAGAGCCAGGCACCAGTGGCTTATCCCTATCATCTTAGCTATTCAGGAGGCTGAGATCTGAGGATGGAAGCCAGCCTCTGTGAGACTCTTCATCTCCAATTAACCACCAAAAAGCTAAATGTGGCTCGCATGGCAGAGAACCAACCTGAATGCTCAGGGACAGCACCCAGACTCTAAGTTCAAGCCCGCAGACTGGCACACACATACAAAAATAACAACAAAGCCTAAACCAGAGAGAAGAGGAAATAGGTAGCAAAGCAAAGGAAGACCAAAAAATTATGATCAAATCAGAGATATACTAACATAGACCTGTCAAATTTAAGGAGGCCAGCTTTTCCTGAAGTGCTCACCTCTTAAATCCTGCCTTTTCTGTCACCATTTTGTCCAGCTGATCTACCTTAGAGACAGAAAAGACACAGTTGTACAGAAATCTAGTTAACAGAGTATCCCAACTGGTCATTTGGCCCAGACCTTGGCCCATCCTCCTCCCTGCAGCTTATCTGGGAGCAATCTCTGCTACACCCCTGGAAGGAACATCATCTTTTGGGCTGCATTGCTGAAGTGATGTCCCAGATCACTTTGAGAATACCTTCTGGTGATCTCCCTCGAAGAGCTGCAGGAAGCTGGCCTGTGTGCCAGTGGTGCCCTTCACCCCCCGGAAGCGCAGGTCATTGCGGACCCTCTGCAAGTTCTGGAGATCCATGCAGAGATCCTGAATCCAAAGACAGCAACGTTTCCCAACTGTGGTTAGCTGAGCAGGCCTGAAACAACCAGAAAGGAACACACAAATCTCAAACCAAGGCATAACTTCATAAAGGCCTTCTAATAGCCACTGTTATCTATGGATAGAGGAACAATTTAAGTAAGAGTTATTGAAATAGTAAAAACAAAACAAGAGCCAAAAGGTTTGAGGAAATCATTATTAAGGAGAATCAATACAATGTAAATCTAGTGGTGTTCTCATAAGAACTATTTTTTTTTTTCTGGTCATTGGGGTTGAACTCACGGCCCAGACACTATTTCTGAGCTCTTTTTGCTTAAGGCTAGTATTCTACTACTTTGAGCCACAGCACTACTTCCAGTGTTCTGGTGGTTAATTGGGAGATGAGTCCCACAGACTTTCCTGTCAGGGTTGGCTTTGAACCACTATCCTTAGATCTCATCCTCCTGAGTTACTAGGATCATAGGAGTGAGTCA